GCTCCTTGAGGAGGCAGGACCCTAGGAGACACGAACGTTGGATACCCTCTGTACGTATCTGCTGCTGCTGCAGCAGCAGCAGCAGCAGCAGCAGCAGCAGCAGCAGGCGGTGTTACCCCCTCACGCGTATGCATCAGACTCGGCTGCACTGAGGGGGCCCTTTGGGGGGCCCCCCCCCGTATAGTATTCCAATAGAGTGCTGCTGTTGCTGCACCAGCAGCAGCAGCAGCAGCAGGCCAGTGGCTCGCAGCCCTCTTGCTGCTGCTGCTGCTGCTGCTGCTGCTGTGTTGCTGCTCCTCTTCCTGCAGCTGCTTCTGCATCAGTAGTCGGCCCCGCTGCTGCAGCTCGCTTCTTAATAGCTGCTGCTGCTGCTGCTGCTGCTGCTGCTGTTGCTGCTGCTGCTGCTGCTGCTGCTGCTGCGGCTCTGTCTCAAGCGGAATCTCCTCTGGGCTGCCGGGGCTCTCTGTCTCTTGCTGCAGCAGCTCGTGCTGCTGCTGCTGCTGCTGCTGTTGCTGCTGCTGCAGCTGCCGTTGCTGCTGCTGTAGCTGCTGCTCTCTCTGCTCGAGAGCATGCATTTGCTGCTCATTCGTACATTGGTCATCTTGCTGTTGCTGCTGCAGCTGCTGCTGTTGCTGCTGCTGCTGCTGCTGCTGCTGCTGCACTGCTGCAGCCTCTTCGTTGCTTTGCCAGCCTCCACTGATTCTAGCTGTTTGTGTGCCGCCTGTAATTGCTGCTGCTGCTGCTGCTGCTGTTGTTGCTGCTGCTGCTGCTGCTGCTTTTGCTGCAGCAGCAAATTCATCGGAGGCCATATTTAGATCGTCCCCAGAACTGCTTATTTCGGTTTGCTGCTGCTGCTGCTGCTGCTGCTGCTGCATGCGCTGCTGCTGCTGCTGCATGCGCTGCTGCTGCCATTCGTTGCAGCTGAGGTCTGCACTGTGGGGGCCTGTTATTTCAGCTTCTCCCTCTTGCTGCTGCTGCTGCTGCTGCTGCGATTCCTGCTGCTGCTGCTGCTGCTGCTGCTGCTGCAATGGTTGCTTGTCTAGCTGACGTGGTTCCTCTTGTAGCTGACGATACTGTTGCTGCTGCTGCTGCTGCTGCTGCTGTTGATGTTGCTGTTGCTGCTGCAGCAGCATGTTGGGCTGGCGAGGCGTTGTCTGCAGAAGCAGCTGCTGCTGCATCTGCTGCTGCTGCTGCATCTGCTGCTGCTGCTTGTGCGTGTCTGGAGACCACTTCGACTCCCCTTCTGCTGCAGCAGCAACGCCCGCTGACTCATTTCTCAGTTGCTGCTGCATTGGTAGCTGCTGCTGCTGCTGCTGCTGCTGCTGCTG